TGAGGTTTCAAAAGCCCATGCTAGACCTCTCTCTCTCTCTCTCTCTCTCTCTCTCTCTCTCTCTCTCTCTCTCAAAGATTTACTTGTTTTATTTATATGAGTACACTGTTGTTCTCTTCAGACACACCAGGAGAGGCCATTGGATCCCATTACAGATGGTTGTGAGCCACCATATGGTTGCTGGGAATTGAACTCAGGACCTGTGGAAGAACAGTCAGTGCTCTTAACCGCTGAGCAATCTCTCCAGCCCCTCTTTCGCTCTTTCTGTCTCTCTTTATCTCTATCTCTCTGTTTCTCTCTATCTCCCACCCTCTCTCCATAATGATAATGTACAACCTGTGAAATTTTTAAAAGGCTCCCAGTTAAATACTTTCTAAGCGTTGACATAGTCATGGTGTTTCTTCACACCAATAGAACAACAGTAGACTAAGAAATTTTCCAAAACGGTTCCATCAGTTAGGAACCAAGCATTCAAATGTATAAGTATATGGGGGATATTTGTGGTCAAACTGTCACATTATAAGGGCAAAAATGTTTTTAAAATACTTGCAAACAAAATTACAGAACACATGAAAAGATTATACACCATGAAAAAGTTGAGTTTATTCAGAGATGCATGGGTAGTTTATCATATATAAATCAATAAATGTAACCCATCATATAAACAAACTGAAAGACAAAAATCATATGACCATCGAAGAAAAGGCCTTTGATACCATGCAACATCCATTAATGGTCAAAGTCTTTGGAGAAATAGGCATACAAAAGGTATATCACAACATAATTTACAAGCTGGTAGACAACATGAGCTGAAATGAGAGAAATTCAAAGCATTTCCACTAAAATCAAGAAAATGTAAAGAATGTCCACTGTCTTTATACATATTCAATATAGTATTTGAAGTCTTAGCAAGAGCACTAAGACAAGTGAAGAAGATGTCAGGAATATAAATAAGAAACTCCTACAACTAAGAAACACCTTCGGCAAAGTAGTGGGACACAAAATTAACAAACACACAGATAGATAGATAGATAGATAGATAGATAGATAGATAGATAGATAGA